ATAATGGGAAGAGGGTGAGAGGGTGGGAAAAATAAAATTATTAACAGCTAAGACTCTGGGCTATAAAATTACGAGCAATTTTTTTTTTCCTATATTTTGGTACTTCAAAATTTTTACACGGTAACCTGTAAATACTTTTATATATACATATGTATGCATATAGATGGATATAATTGGTAGTGCTTCTGTAAATGGTAAAAAGATTTTTGTTTTGAACCTAAGAAGGCAATTCTTCACATAATTTATAATCGTGGTATCATCAAAAAAATTCCGAGACATACATCATCTCTCCAGGAATAAACTGAGCTCCTCTCTGTAGACAAGCCAGTGGTAGAACTCTGTGTTGAAGACCTTGACCATGAATCGTGGGCTCTCGTGGGTGTGCAGCTTCCACTAGATGAAAACGATGATGGGGATTCACTACTGGAATGAACATAAGCAACAGACATAACATTTACACAGAGTGCACTAATTTAAGAATATTTTTGCATTAGGTTAAAAATAAAACTGCCTTTTAATTTAAAAGGTTCATGATGGCCCATCACTGATTTGTTATTGGAATTTTTTTGATTTTTGTAATCAGCAGCATTTAACAGGTGAATTCTTACCAGGTATATTTATCAATGGCTTTCTGAACATTTCTTGTAAAATGTGATGGTAAAGGATCTTTGCTTTTCACAGCAACACTGTGCTTTCTAGAACCTTCGGAAAGTCCTCTTCTGAAAAACAAAAGAAACATGGAAAGCCCCACTAATGTCATGATATATTCATTAAATAATATTTGTTAAAACTTGTAAAATTCCTTTTGTATAAGGTTGCTCCTCTTCTCCTTCTGTTCCCCCAAACACAGGTGTGTGTGTACACGTAACACACCCCCTTAAGAAACTAAAGCCTAGGATCTTGTGTTTTTAATGTTTCTTAGAATCAAGGTGGCCAATAATCTGCATGCATCTTTATGTGAAGTGAAATAATAATAACAACTTTTGGAGACGTAGCCAGAGAAGTAAGTTACCCCAAACAGGTCAATATTTCAGATGTGGCTTTACTCCAAGGTGTAAGACTTGGCAAGAGGTAAAACATGGGCTGGATTTCAGGTTGCCCTTGACCAGGTTCCCTTATCCTTGAAAACTCCAACTGGGACTCCAGTAAAAATCATGAATCCCATATATTCTGAAATAGATCAGATTCTTTTGAATCACTAGAAGCCACACAAACATCTAACCTATTTTACTTTAGCATTGTTTCTTGGTGTATATTCTGAGTTTTACAGAGTTTGAAAATATTAAAATTTAATGGAGAACTGCAATAAAAGAAAATCTAAATTTCAAATAAGCTGTTAAACCTAACTGTAGCACAGTTTGTGTTAATCATTAAAATGCCCTTTCAATGAACCTCTTAAAACATTTACTTGCCTCTAGTCAAAATATCTTCCTGATGTTTAATAGTAAACTACTTTTATTCTTAAAGTAGATATCATATCCTCTCATATGAATAAAACGTACATTAACTTAAGATGTGATAATAAATTAGAAGAATAACTTCCACTTTCAACATTCTCAACAAAAACACCACTACTCAATGTGTACTTTTTTTTTTAAGTTTGTTTTTGTTTTCAATTTAAATGGTACCTAATTTAGGGGCTGGAGGTAATTCAGGGGTCTAACATGCACAAGGCTCTAGGTTTGATCTCTGGCACCATAAAATAAACAAACAAACAAACAAATAAAATGGTACTAATTTTCAATATTTTTATTTTAATATACTTGGAATAAATATTACACTTATGTATCTATCATAATCTACACAAAAGGGAATTGTAAAAATATATTAAAACTATAGAGATTAGCAAGAACCCCTACCTTTCATAAATGTGTTTTATACAAAAGAACAGAATTATATGATTTTTTCCTTTCTCCCTACTACTTACATATTGTAAATACAGTATGAAGATAGGTGGCACATGCCTGTAATCCCAGTGGCTCAGGAGTTCAAAGCCAGCAACTCAGAGAGGTGCTAAGCAACTCTGTAATACCCTGTCTCTAAATAAAATGCAAAATAAGGCTGAGGATGTGGCTGAGTTGTCAAGTGCCCCTGAGTTCAATGCTCGGTACCAAAAAAAAAAAAAAAATGTTAAAATAAGAATACCAGAGAAAAAATATAACTTTCATGTTTTAATAAACTGCTTTTCCTTTAGCTCTGTTCAGTTGTTTTTAAACCATCAGTTACTTATCATTTACATTGTGACTCAATAACTTTTTTAGTTAAACATAAAAAAATCCTACAAAATAGCTGACCAAAAATCAACTAACTATAGTCGTGTTTTGAACTTAAGAAGTATGCATTCATATATGAGCTAATATGTTACTGAGAAATAATTTTAAAATCCAGTTTGATTAATTAACTAAAATATTGTTCCTTCATGATATCTTTATAACAATGGATTAGAATTTGTTCTCTCCTGATACTTTAAGCAAGACACTTGCCTTCTCCTGGATACTATCCACATCTATAAAATAATTCAGAAGTTCTTCCCTCATTCTAGGATAAAGGGCCAAGACTCCTTGTGGTTGTCTGAAACTGTGGATAGCACTTACCCCTATTGATACCATATTCTTTGCTACACTACATATGCACCTATAATAGTTCTGGTTGTTTCCTTGTACCTTCCTTAGCATTCTGATTAAATAGATCTCTTTGGGCATTTTAAAATTTTGAACTTGACACATTATTAATCTTTTTGTCTGTAGCATCTTAAATAATGCTTGTCACACAAGAAATACTTTCTACGTTTATTGAAAGAATCAATAAGCAAAGATTCAATGAGTCACTCAAACACAGAACACTGTTTACTCTATAATTACTCTGAATGTTCTTACTTATCACAAAAGATCATGTTGGGACCAGACATTTAAAAAAAAATAAAAAATAAATAAATACACCGTTCTCCAAATTCAGGACATTTCTAGAGAATTTTAAAGTTTTCTAGAGAGGATAGAAAGTCACAGCTCTTCTCTGAATAGCTTCTATCTACCTCGCAAATGACTTTCATGACTAAATGAAGCCTCTGCTCCATTAGTCTTCTTTATCACCATTCTTCTTGCTCATAGCACATCTGCCTTTTGTGCAACCTCAAAGCAAAAATTCACTTACTGGAAGCATGCCCAGTTTGTTTTGTTTTCAATGAAGAATAATTTCTTCCTCTATAAAATTCATTCTTTTTTGTGTGTGGGGGGGAGTCTTTTCAAACTAAGAAGAAAATTGATTTCAAAATGGACATGTTAATGTCTCACTGCATGTGACAGAAAATCCTTTCTAAAACCATCAGTCCTGCTCATATGAAAGTAGCTGAGGATCTGAGGTGTGGAGCAAGGAGGGCAGGAATGGGAAGCTCTACAGTGAGCTCTACATTGGATAGGGGTTTCTATCCAATGGATACTTTAAAACACTAATTCCACTCCATTTCTGCAACCTTTTCTTCCTCTTCCCTTCCTCATGTCTTTCTGTGCAAATTCTTGCACTTCAAGGTTGAGGATGATAACCTACACATTTTGACCACAAATTGCGGAAGAAACTGGATGTTATTTGAGGAATTTATTTGAGCCCACAACTCAAGGACTGCCAAAGGTCACCAAGAAGACAGGAAAGCAGTTGGGACAAGGATGCAGGATACTGACATGCATATATCTCTCCAGGAACCACAAATTACTAACATTGTGAATTCAAAACAAACTCATAATATTTCTTGCCTCTTTTGGGTTCTGTTTTGGCTATTAGGTTTCTCTATGCGCTAACCAAGCATTGAACTGCTACTCCATGCATAACATTCAACACTTTTTAATCCCTTGCAATTTCAACGTCTACATTCTATACAGTCTTAGAAAGTATACAAACTTACAGGATGCATTCTAACTGGTAAATATTTTTAAAACTTAAATGTGGAATATCTAATAAAGTTATATTACATTGTGCATAGAAATGTGACAATTTTATGCTAGTTCCTTTCTCTATTGCTTAAATTTTAGAGATAATGAACTATTGCTTGTCAGAGCATTTATTCCGGTGCAAGACCTAAGTTCCCTCAGTGTGGACCTAAGTGCAGTCACTGAACTGTATTGCAAAGTGAAGACTGAGAACCAATCTCCAGGAGTCACTGCATTCCAGCTATCAGGTAAATGATTAATCATCTATTTTTACTTTTTAGTTTGCTTCTCGATGGCCCACAAACTTCTGCCACATTGTCCTGTAGAAATTAAAATGTTAGGCAGTGATCTTCAAGCCTGAATTAGACAGGCAGTCGGTATAGATAAGTAAATCGAGTCGGATCAGATCAAGGAAGCCAATTTGAGTGAGTCCTGGAAGTTGGAGATGCTAATGCCTCCAGAGCCCTTCCTCCACCCTTATGAAGATAACCTGCCCTGGCTCCAACCGGTTGCTAAGGTAACCTGTCCCAGGGATTGTCCCTCCCTACAGAGAGTAGTTAATTAAGCCCCCTTCCCATCCAGATCTTTCCAACTTGGCCCCTCCAGCCCATCTGCTTTTCTCCTTTTGGCCAACCCACTGAGCATCCCCTGGGCCTAGTCACAGAAGTATGCAGGAAGGAGAGAGATTAGCAAAAGGGGGCAGGAGAACAAAGGAAGCCTAAGGCTTATAAAAAAGAACACCCCCACTTCTTGGTATAACAGGATATCAGCCATGGCCCCCTTCTCCCTGCCGGGAGAAGTCTATGCCACCCCCTTTTTAAATAAACCCTGCTTGCCTCCGCGTGCTTCTCTAGTGTTATCCTTGGACCTGTGAGAGAGCACAACTCCTCACAGTAGACCCGCAGGATCAATCTCAGTTTTTGGAAAGTCGCGCTTCCATTTGAAAGGATTTATCCGAAATAAGCACTGTTGCTGGGTTAAACCGCAGGCTGCTTTTCTGGTCTATTTCTGGCAAACACAGATGAGGTCACTCAAGGGTTATTATCACGAAGCTGCTCCTGCAACACGCACTCTCATACGTCCTAAGACAAGTTCAGGGCTCTGGGGACCTGATGGAGAAGTCCCATCAGACGCTAGGAAGGCTTCTCAGACCAAGTGAGCAACTTCACTTGGGAAGGCCTGATGATGTCAGAGCGTCAGGCTTTCACGAATGGATGCAGGAAAATACAGACCAGGATAGACTCCGGTTTGGCAGGCAGGAAAAAAAAAATCACGGCCCTTCGCACAAAAAGAGGACACCAGAAAGAATTCCTTACACCTCCTCTCGCCCATGAACACTTACCCAATTACAATCAGCCCAAGACCTTGGCTCGTGTCCCCCGGGCCAGGCCCTGCGCCCCGAGGCCTGCGCGTCCCTGCGCCTTGGCTTCCTCCTCGCGCCCCGGGCTGCCAGAAGGCGGCCGCGCGCCCCCGCACCCGCGGGGCCTCGGCTCCCCGCCGGCCCAGCCCTGCGCCCCCTCGGCCGACTTAGCCCTGCACGTGCAGCCGGGCCACACTCGCGGAGCGCCGGCCTTCAGCCGCGCAGTTCCCGGCGTTTGGGACCCAATCTGCGCGGCCCATGGGCGCGGCTGCTGGGGGGCGGGCGCCGAGCTCTCCTGCCCTCTCCAGATCCCTGGGACCTTCACGGGCCAGATTCCGCTGCGGCGGGGAGACGCCTCCGGAGCTCTCGGCGCAAGTCCTCCTCTCTCCTCTGCAGCTGCGCTCTCGCTGGGTGGGGCCGGGCCGGGCTGGACTGGGGTCCACTTCTCCCCCACTTCCTAATCCTGGTCGGCACTCCCTGTCCCCAGTCGCCGAATCTGGCCCTCTGCCGGCCTGTGGCTTTCCCAGGGACCTCAGGAAAAGCCCCTTCTCCCCGACCCAGGCCGGATTTCATTACCCACGGATCAGCGCTTTGACCTTTGGAGACCCGCCACTTCGCCTTCTCCGGACCTCCAGCGCGCAGGTTTCTGGCCCTACCATACCTTCCCGGGGTCTTTCTCAGGCTGAAGGTCTGTCCAGATGGGTGTCTCCAGCCTTGCTTCTTCGAAATAGAATTTTAACTCACAAGAGAAAGAGAACTATAGAAAGATTTCACCTACTCTCTCTCCCCACCAGAGGATGTATAGATTGAGGTAGGTGGGCAAGTCAAGTTTAAAAGAATGAAGCCCTATAGCTGGTAAATGCAAGATTTATTACAGGAACTCTAGGCCTGATAATCCTCACTGAAGATTTATGTCGTTTTAAGTCCTGCCTCTCCATCTGCAGATAGATGCTTTATGTCACATAACCTAGTAAGTTTTCTACAAATCAGGCTCCATTCTTGCAGTTTAGTTTATTAATATGTACTTGTTTCAAAATTTTGGAGGGACACAACTATATCAGGACCAGTTACTACACTCTAGCCTTAGAAATGAAATTCCTCTAGCTCATTTTCATAACCTATAGGAAATGGAGTGAATTAACTGGGGTAAAATACATTTTCAAGGCCAAGTATTCAAGTCTAAGTACTACCTATGCCTGGTTCCACTATAGAATTTTTAATAATTACGATGAATAAAGTGGATGTTAGTATGTTTCCCAGCCCTAACGTGTCCTATCTGTTTCCCTGTGAGATCCAAGGTCATCTATGTTTCATCAGGTACAGAGAAACTTAAAAAAAAAAAAAAGTTAACCTCAGTGCTGAAATTTATAAGGACATTATTTTAAAATGATTCCAGGAAATTGCAAAAATTTATATCTGATACTAAATAGGTTTTTTTAAATGAAATGTTTCTAGGAATAGTTTATGTAACACGAGATGCATGTATATTGACTTTGGGATTGAAACGTTTGCTGCAGTATTGCCCAAAAGCCACTAGATGTCACAATTTTCCTTCTTTTGTCCCTTTAAGAACTGTGCCCAGATTTTAATATCGATAATGCATGTATCTTTTTGGCAAGATAGGATTCCCTGAATTTTCAGTCCAGAATAGATGGAGAATCTTATTTAGATCATAAATCACTATTGCAGTGGAGAGATCTTGCAGGAGCAGCTCATGGAAAATGTCATGACAGTAGAGTCTACCATAGGTGATAGAGTGCTTTTGCTTTGGCAGACAAAAACCTAGAGGTCTCATACCTTTCTTCTAAGTCAGCTATCCTGAAAGGTGATCACTTTTCTGTACAGAAAATCGGGTCCAAAACATCAGGTAAATTACAAAAGACAAACAGTTTTACTCAGATGGATCCAGTCTGACTTCAAAAGTTTACCTTATGAAATCCAATCTCAAATCTAATTCGATGATTTCTGTTAAACCTCCTTTCACTATATTTTCTTTGTATTTTAAATCTATAAAATATTCTATTATAATATTTACTAATATTTTCTTGATATGTGCCACATGCTAGGCTCTGTTTGACGCACTTGAGAAAAATTAGTGTATTAATTGGACAGTTGCTCACAGGAGGCACTACTGTTAGTGCTATTCTGCAGATTAGAAAACTAAGGTATAGAGAAGATGCCACACAGGCAGGGCCTATGCTCTAAATTAGGCTGTTGATAACATAGTTTATTCAACACATACCTCAGTCTTTGTGACACATACTTCAAAAGTCTTTTATAACTGAAATGGGCTCACTAAATTTTAACATGCACTATATTTAGCAATGAATATAAGGGGTTTTAAATTGATAAGAAAGTTGTCTTTGAAAAGAGATAGCACATGAAAAATTGAAAGACTTTTTTATTATGAAGAATATAGAAAAAACATAGAGCATAGTCTTGAGTAACCTATGAGGTTTACAGGCTTATCTAAAATCATGGAAAGAGAATTATTATTTAATATAACATGCCTAACTTTTGGAACCCCAAGTTTTAAAAATGAATGCTGAAATAAGGACAATAATAATTAGGCAGAACCATATGAAATTGTCAGTGTTATACTGTTTTGGACTAAAGAAACAGAAATTTCCTGTTTCAACATAATACATTGACTAAATGAGTTTGATAACATTCCTTAATATCCAATAACTTTTTCTTACTTTTCAGAATTTATTTTGCTATACTTTCATCAAAAAGTAAAAAAGAAAGAATACAAAATCAATTTATATTTTTATAAAGGATTCATCCATATTTCAAAATGAAAACAACTATCCACATATATTCTGTAAAGAATTCAATTTCCCAAACTATAGCATCAATATGGACATATTTTACTAAAATGTTTTTTTGTTGTTTAATTTCTTCTTTTAAATAGTAGAATAGAAAACAAAGACTTTGTGGTAATTGCTGAAACACTATTGCAAATTACAGTTTCCTTTTGTGTAATTGAAATATTAAAATATAGTTCATCTTATTATCCTCTGTTTCACTATTTGTGAATTTTCCTGCTTGCTAAAATTTACTTGTAACCACCAAATCAGTACTTGAGTGCTTTCATGCTCATTTGCAGATGTGTGCAGAATGATGAAAAGTTTGAATTACCTGAAACATGTGCTCCCAGCTGAGGTGGAAGAAAGTGACCCTGCATTCTTGTTTCAGCTCTCATTCTGCAAATAAGTAGGCACTCCGAGGGGTCTATTCAATGAGATATTTTGTTGGAGAAATCATTGCTTACGTTGGTCCCTATGAGCTGTGCTTAAGTGCTGTCTAGTGTTCCTGAGGAAGACCATGATGTGTCTTGTTTGAGGAAACATACATGTCAGATGGGTTTCATTCAGTCATGAACTGTAGTGCTATTAAATATTGCAGTATATCAACCATATACATTAAATAATATATCTTTAGACACAAACACACAGTAGACAAGATTATGTATTGTTTAGTTGACAAAAATGTTGATACTAGAGGCTCACAGGAATGTAACTCTGTATTTTGACCGGTAGCAATGGTACAGTAACTCACCATTTCTGTGTCTGCAGCTACTTTATAAAAACCCAACTATTGAGAATAATGAAAATCAACTGTGTTACCTGTTCACATTTATGAAACACTGCTATACAAAGTCTTCATAAATTTGAATTATTTAACTTCAAAACCTTATTAGGATATCACGAACACACAAACAATTTCAGAATACAAAAACTAGGTGATGGAAGTTTTATAATTAGCGCTAAGTCTAGAGTTTAAAAAAAAAAAAGAAATCTACGTTCAGAAAGAGAACGGCCAGTGATCACTGTCTTCTGTTCACTCTGCATTTTGCTTGCTGTATCACAATTGAATTCAGCGATTCTCAAATTTTAACATGCACCCCAACTTGCTGTGTGCTCATTAAAATATAAATTGCTGAGTCTAACCCCAGAGTTTCTTTTTCTGCAAGTCTGGGGTGAGAATTTGAATTTCTCACAGTCCCAAGGGCTGCTGCTATTGCTGGCCCAGGATGGAACCACAGTTTGAATTTATTTCCCAGGGGGGAACCACAGTTTGAATTTATTTGCTTTACCATTCTTTATACCCTGCTCCCACTCACACCTTGTTCCCAACCCCCAAAGCACTTGAGCTCAGGTATTGTGTCATACGGAGCCTTGTACTCCAGCCTCAGCACCTGCTGAACCTTTAATCAATGCGAAGGAGTAGAGATCAAAGCCTTCATCAGACAGAGGAGGAAAGGGAGGCCCTCAGCTAATTCAATGCATACCAGGGGCAAGAACCCCAGAACTCCCCCAAACTGCCTGCACATGAAGCTATCAGGCAGGCTTTCTCTTACAATGTGCTACAGTCCTCGTGAGTAAAATCCAGTCTATCTTTTGGGTGGGAACACTAGCCAAAGAACATTCTTTCCAAACACAAAAGATTGTCCAATTCTGCAGCAATGCTGGGTACCTAGGAAAAAACATGGGGCCAAGGAAAAGGAGAGACTCAGGAGATCCCAGGGTTCCTCTTCTTCATGCTCCAGGAGGCTCAGCTGACCAAAGCTGAAAGAAGAACTCAGACTGCCAAACAGTCTCAGGATGACTACATTCTAGCTGTTTGGCTCATGCCCGCCATGAAAGCCAGAGTCTATTCTTCCTCTACTTAGCACAGGGCCACGCATGAAGATGCTTTACATACAACTTGATTACTATTTTAGGTTCAGGGAGATGTCAGCCTAAGAACTTACAAAAATAGAAAATAAAGACCATGAGTTTTTACATCCTGATCTTTGAGTTTGAGACATGTCTATCATCAACAGAATCTCACAACATACCATGGGACTATGGGATTGCCTCTTGTTGAGTGCAAAGCCCATAAGCACTACCAAGACATAAAATAGGGAGGAAAGCTTTATTACTTGAAGCAAGTTAGGAGGGCATTAGGGATAATTCTCAAATCAGTGTTGCCCTGAACAGAGAAAGCAAGGGACTTTCATCAAGGAAAACTCTGCATATTCATATAGGAAAAACTTATCAATACATGTAGGAGACCAGCACATTCTTAAACAGTTCATATATCACATGTTCAAAAACAAACAAAAAAATGGTGGACACGAATGGTTCTGGGTGGAGAATTTAGTGTTATAACATGAGTAAAGTTGACTTCAGATCACCTAAAATAAGTGAGTCAGAGTGACTCCATGATTTTATAGTTTGGGTACTTTTAAGTTTCTTATCTTACAGGCCCTTATCTTAAACAACAATAAAAACCCAACCATAAAGAGGCAGCAATTGCTCCCACCCCCCAGCAAGCATAGGTGGTTGTCCTCCAAAGTACCTGCCTAGCTGCTAACAACAGGGGTCAGCTAAGCAGCAATCATGGAGTATTTGTATGAAACCATAAAGATCATCCCCCTGCTTCCCACTCATTAGAGTGACTATTCCAAAAGAAAGAAAATAACAAGTGTGGGCAAGATTGTAGAGAAATTGAACATTCTCTACAATCTTGTACATTCCTGGTGTGAATGTCAAATGATGCAGTGATTATGGAAAAAAACGGTTTGGCAGCTCCTCAAATACTGAAACATAGGATTACTGTATGATCCAGCAGTATCTTTTCTGACTATATATTCAAAAAGATTGAAAGCAGGGACTTAAAGAGATGGTTGTATACCAGTGTTCAAAGCAGCGTTATTCACAACAGCTAAAAGAGAGAAATAATCTAAATGTCCATCAACAGATGAACGAATAGACAACATGAAATAACTATATGCAATAGTATATTGTTCAGATTTTAGGAAGAATGAAAATCCTACTTATGCTAAAATAGAATGACCCTTAAAAACATAGTGCTAAGTGAAATAAGCCAGACACAAACCTACAAGTATTCTATGATTCCACTTATCTGAGATACTTACAGCAGTAAAACTCAGACACAGAGAGCAGAATAGTGAATGCCAGGCACTGGGGAGAGGGGGGAATGGGAAGTTATTGGGAATGGGTATAGAGTTTCTGTTTGGGATGACAAAAAGTTCTGGAGCTATATAGTAGTGATGATTTCACCACATTGTGAATATGCCTAATGCCACTGAATTATGTGCTTATCAGTGGCTAAAGGGTAAATTTTATGTGTATGTATTGCAACTTCAGAAATTTACCTCCCAGCTTGCAGGTGAGTGTCAGTTGCTCAGAAGGAAGTGTAGGGACACCACTTGAGCACTTGTCTAGCCTTTACCCATTCTGCTCTAGGGAGGGTAGGAGATGTCAAAGCAGATGTCTTCATTCACATTCCCCAGGCTCTGTCAAATGTAGCTGGGCTCCACATAACTGCAAAGCCAACTTAGGAGCACAGCATCAAGAGCTCTTTGTTCTTATGCAAATGCTGCCTCATCTGTGTCTTCATAGCATGGAAAATATTGTCTGGAAAGACAAAGACCTCAACAACGCCATGCAGGAAAGGGCTTCATAAGAGTCTTTGATATGTCAAGAGCCTTGTAATGTTGTGAACAACCAATAAAAAAATAAATAAATAAATTTTTTAAAAAAGAGTCTTTGAATGTTGACAACTTTTAAGAATTTATCTAGCCTATAGTTTCTCCTTTACATTGGCATAAGAATAATTTATGATTTGTAAAAGTCTTTTAAGTCTTAAAAGAGCGTTCGTAATATGAATAAAATTAAAATTCTTAACGATGAAAGTATTTTATAATAATTTGCACATTTCTTTTGCAGTGGAATGTAAAATAATAGTGAGTCTTTTATTCAATAGCAGCTTCAATTCAATGAAATTCAGGAATTTCTAATTTGAACAAGTGTTTTTCAACACAGATGGCTTCAGTTATAAAAATAGATGATACATCTTTAAAGATTTACCTTGTATTAAAAACAGCATAAATTGGAATATAGTATTGTATCAAGATATTTTTCAAATAATTAAGGTTAATAAGATTCTGATAGATGAAGAATTTTTCTGGTTTTCTAAGTCTTAATCTGCCACTGGTTTTGTCTTCCAACCTTTCACAGATAAAATAAATAAAGCCAGAACCGAAGCTAAATTCAACTCAAAATCAAATTCTAAAGAATTTTATTTCCAGCCATGAATTATAATTACACGGCCAGCCAGGCTTGCAAATCTTACTGAGGATAATTAAATACTTTCTGTCATCTGTCTGTTTTGATAAGCAGAAGTTCTTAATTTTAATATAGTGAAATTTAAAAATCTTTTATTTGGGGGTTACTGATTGTAATGTCTTGTTACCTATCCAAGTCATCATCATCTACCTAAGTTTTCTTCTTGAAGTTTCATTGTTTTACCTTTACTATTAGAAATATAATCCACTTGAAATTTATGTATTTGTATGGTGAAAACAGGTGATCTTTCCATGTTTCTTTTAATTCTTGAAGGATATATTATTTAATGTATCATTATTTAATGTACTTCAATTGCTCATTTGGTTAATACATGTTGAGCTTAGTTCTGTGTGTGTGTGTGTGTGTGAGTGTGTGTGTTCCAAATACACTTCTAATTTACATAATTACTGTCCCTGTTGGAAGCCCCTATTTTTGCCCCACATGGACCATAAAGCAGGATGAAAGTCTACATAAAAAAAAAATTATTCTGACATTAAACCGTTAGGAAAAATTGTTTCAAGAAGATTTCCTTGGAAGATGAATGGTGATTTCCATCCCACACTGTGCATTATCTCAGTATAAAAATTCCCTCGATTCTACTTTCAGCAAAGATAGATTGTTTTAGACCAACCACAAGCTGAGGGCAACTAGAAAAGCTAAACAATAAATTTAGAAACACACCCAGAAGTTCAGGTGAATTGGAAATAGAACAACCTCATAGGACCTGAAACCCAATTTTAAATCTTCTTAATACTTGATTGGATTAAGATGACCTGAGATTGCCAGGGTCCTTAACACAGTCTGCCATAGGAAATAAATGTAATCCTTTCTGAATTTAATCTGTAATGAACGATTATCTAGTATTTACCAAGGACCATGTTGAAACATACAAAGGTTTTAAAAATCAATGTATGGGTAAACAGTTTGTAGATGTACAGCTAAGTCCTTGATCTTAATAAAGATAAAAATATGTGTTCCTGATTATAAGAAGGAAAAAACATATTGCATACTAAGGTATTTCACAGAAGCTTCTGTTATTTTGTTTGGTTTACTTTTTTTTACAGCATTTAGCTATAAAAATCAGCTCTTTTATCATGAATTGAGAAGGTTTAAAAATTGCAATGATTCCTTCTGCAGAGCACAATTTCTTCTCATGCCTATATTATCTAAAATCATGGTTCTTAACTTTCACATTAATTGTGAGGTGTGACACTCACTACCATAAAAAAAAAGTAGCAGTAAGTTTGTCAATGATTTGCGTTAGGAAATAGACTATTTTCAGACTATCCTTTTCATATACAGTTGCTTATTCTTGTCCGCATTGAGATTCAGTGATATAACTGCAGCAAACAATTGCTCATGAAACCTTACACTGAATGCAAATGCCATTTTCTGATGGATGTTGTAGGAGAGAGTAACAAACAAACAAACAAACATTAAAAGTCACTTGGTACCTATGCTCCAGCTGTGAGACTTCTGGGTGCAAACTCTCAGACTTCTCTTTTGAATGTTCATACAACAGAATCATTTTCAGTAACCTCAAAGGCTTTTGTAAAAACAATCTCTTAATTTCAATCTACCCGTCATATCCAGGATGATTTTGAAAGTAAACATGTTTTATAAAACTCATTAGCATCACTGAGCTGGTAAACCAATTCACTGGGGAAAAAAAAAAAAAAAAAGCCCTGACTTAA